GTTTAATATATAAAAAACGAGAGATGAGATCAGAAACAATAAACAATAAATAATCGAAAATATTATTTTAAACAATTCTGTAGGATTCTGATTAAACTAAATCAAATTTCATTCAATTTTTTTCTTTCTTTTTCTTTCCGATGTTTCCTTGACAGCCGTCAATTTCACTTTGAATGTACGAAGCGTGACAAAATGCAACTGTGAAAATGAGACACAGTCACGCGGTGTGATCTCTTCCGGTAACAATGGACACGTAACATTTCAGGACATTGTTCCCTCCATTTGGTTCCACTCGTCGCACTGCAATTTTTCCAAACGCATAGATCGACTACGGAACAAACATCGATGAAATTTTCTTTCCTTCTTTCATTCGATAGGTCGATCGGGAAATTCGAAAAACTCGTTGACGAATGGAACGTCGTCCTCGGCTCATGGCGGGGAGTTTTGTTCGCTTCGCGCGTAGATTTACGTCACTGCGTTCGTGGCGCGCCTGCGCGGAGAAAACCGAGCGCCCCCCACTCCGCTCCTGTCGTCGTCATATTGCGCGATTTACGGCCAGCCTGACGGTCGCGTTCGTGGTGGTCGGAGGGTGTTGTGCTTTGCGTTTCTCTGCGTCGAGTACCGACCGGACGCGAGACTTTCTCTCCTCTTCTCCCACTTGCCTTTCTACCCCTGTCGGCCCGACGATGCACCGGTGCGGCTTCTGAAACAAGTGCGGGCCGGGAATATCGTTTACGCGGATCTCCGGACTTTCTTCTCACGAACGACCGCATCGTGCGTGTCGTGCCACGATGGCTCTCAGTCAAACCAGCGTGGTGAGTAAATAAAAAAAAAAAAAAAACGAGACGGGTCGTAACACCGTACATTGAAATTGCACATACAGAGCGTATGTACAATTTCTCGAGAACGAGGGTTTTCCTTCGACCCCTTCCTCCGATCACGGAATCCTCCGGAAATGCCCGTATTCGTCGTCGTCGACGAGTGGATGCTAATCTCGCGCGCGGATATCGCAGAAGTCATACTGTGGCTGAAAGATAAAGAATAAACTGATGTTTGTTTGAGATCTTCCTACCCGCACCGCTGTTCACATCGACATTTGTTATCTGAATATCAAACCGAATTTACTCCAGCTTGACTCCGATATTCCACTTTGCCTTATTCGAATACTGAAAATCAATTTAATGGAAATGCTAGAACAAATTGAATGATCATATTGTTTTTATATATTTTAATGCGTCTTTTATATTTATTTAATCATCTTCTCAAGATTACGTTTGATTATTGCTGAAAAGGATCTGAATGAAGATTGAAATTGAAAGTTCGAGTTTAATACAGAAATTAGAAATAAAAAGAATATATAATTGTATTTTGTATAAACATATTAATCTTTGTGTTGACATTAATTAAATTCTTAATAGAAATATATTTCCATATATAAAAAATGTGTTCTTATGTTTATACAATATTTTTTCTGTGAGATTATTGGAATGTACTACGAAAGTTCATATATACTTAGCATATAAATATTATGGTATTGAAAGACTGAATTCCATTTTAACTCATTTTATAGCTGAAATTGTACAACACTGTGATAGCAGACGTAATAGAAGGAGTGAGAGAATCGTTTATGGATGAAGGTGTGGACGAGCAGGTCTTGCAGGAATTGAAACAAATATGGGAAGGCAAACTCATGGCGAGCAAGGCTGTAGAGTTGAATCCAGATCCGCCAGAGCCACAAGTTCCTCAAATCAATACGCACAAAGCTGTATCTGTCAATAGAGGTACATATTGATAGTGAATGATTGTAATGTTAGCAAATGATTTTTAATTTCAGCAAACTGCAACTTGTACAAGATCCTCCACTGCTATTGGGTATTTTGTATTAAACTTTCAGTATCTTATATACATAAGTTATTCTTATATATTTGATATTACAACAGTTAATGTAGGAAATCATTTTGTACAACCATTTGCTGGAAACACAGTGCCGCAAACACAAGCTCAACAACCACAACAGCAGCAGCCACAATCTCAATCGCAGCAACCATCGCAACCTCAGCAACATGTGCATTCTACCACCGGAACATTACAGCAGCAGCAACCACAACAACAGCAGCAGCAACCACAACAACAGCAGCAGCAACCATCATCGACTCCAGTGCATCAAGTGGTAACTGCTTCGGCTGCTGTGCTCGAACGACATGTGCCCATACAAATCACTTTACCTCCACAACCTGGTGTCCCGGACAGTCCGCAGCGAATTTTAAGCATACAGGTTCCTGCATCCACCGTTCAAGGTGAAGGTTTTTAAGAATGATTTATGTAACATAAAATGAGCGTTCTACATATTTTATCTTATTACATATAATTTTTGATAAATTTAAATTATATATATATATTTTTTTTGATAAATTTAAATAATATATATATATTTTTGATAAATATATATTTAAATAATATTTAATTACAATGTATAAATTCGTGTACAAAATAATATAATTAATGTTGCAAGTTCATTATATTTGCTACATGCATGTTATAATTATTTCACACATCTTTATATCATATTTTTCTGTTATAATTTGTGAAGAATTTTCTATTATAATTGTGTGAAGAATTTTCTATTATAATTGTGTGAAGAATTTTCGAAATACATCTCTGCATATATTAACTACTTCTTTTATGTAAGTAAGACAAAATTATATAAATATATTTATTTTTCCAGGAAACCAATTGCACACGATTTTGACGGGCCCAGTAATTTCCGCCGCTATGGGTCTTCCAGCGGATTTAGCTTCAACTTTGTTGCAACAACATGTGAATTCTACATTACAGGGACAAGCGACATTAACTCCATTGCAAGTGAATCAGCCCCTTCATGTAATCACACAAAGGCCGTCTAATAATAATCAGGTAGAGATATTAGATATAATATTTATATTGCGAAGTGAAAATGAAATTTAATAGATAAAATAATGACAAGATGCATGGATACATGTATATATAAGTTATATAACACGAACATTGTCCACTTGTCTAGAAAAGTAATATAAATCAATTGGACGGAGGAGTGGGTGATTCTACTGATGATGATGATGAAGAGGAAGAGGAAGATAATGACGATGATGACGAGGATCTTGATGAAAAAGAAGAAGAAGAAAATGATGAAGCAGCGGTTCGTGAAGAGGTTAATATTTAATAAATAGATAAATTTGATGTAGTTCTTGAATGATCTATTTTACAAGAAAATCGTTTGTGCTAGGAACCTCTCAATTCTGAAGATGATGTTACGGATGATGATCCTACTGATCTTTTCGATACCGATAACGTAGTCGTTTGTCAATATGATAAGGTGTGAAATTTTAATGATTTACATTTAATTTTGTTATTAAAATTAATATCAACTCAAATATAATTGCGACAATGTTTTGCTTTCAGATCACAAGGAGTAGAAACAAATGGAAATTTTATCTGAAAGACGGTATAATGAATCTAAGTGGAAAAGACTATGTGTTCCAAAAGGCAAACGGGGACGCTGAATGGTAAATCTAGGTACGAATGTGTGAATATCGTGTTGCCCACAGTAAGCTCGACTCAGGGACACTGCATGTAAAAGGCAACTTGGTAATGTGTTCACGTGAACTGCGTTAATATATGAGATGTCGGCAATCTCTGCGACGATTCTTCAATCAATTGTGAAACTGTTATGATAAAAACGTACAGGGGAACAATGGCGCATGTTATCATATTATCACAATTATTGTATTATATGTCTTATATTCTTAACTTTGTACGAGCGGCAATTTTCAAGATATTCAGAAATGCATGCTGTTTTCTTTTGACAGAACTTGTCGAAGATAAGTCGCAGACATTAAAAGTATTGTTTTATTCATATAATTTTGTATATTCTAATAAGAATATCGTTATCAGTCTTGAAGATTCTTAATTATATTGTTAATCTTTTATTATAGAAAATTCAAGATCAAAAATCGAGTGAAGCATAGAGCCAAATTTTGTTTTCGTGTAATGCAAATTATTAAATATACAAAAAACTTATACGAAAGTCTCCTATTGGTAGTTATTATATGTTAGTGGAAACTCGCTTGTGGGTGCCGAAAAAAAAACTGATTTTAGTTAGCATTTTCTAGCAAATGAGTAAACTTTACTGGAGCGGAAGTGTGTTATGTATATAAATATATTGAATATATACATATTGATGATTAAAGCACCATATCGATTAGTGGCTTTGAAACCACATCGCGAATAATGAATGCGAAAATTGTACCCTATAGATATATATATAATATATATTATATACACATATATTTTGAAATTTCTAATTATGAACTTTTTCACGTGGAATGAAGCGAGGAGATACTTCCAGTCTGTCTTTGTGACCCGAACGTAACAAAATGATATCGTATTGTGTATTTGAGTTGAGAAATATCAAGATATTACAAAACTATGATTCATATGTGATGCTTTGGAATAATACATGTGTCTTATTGTCATGTTCATTTATCAAGTGAAATGAAGAACAATTTTTAGCATTTAGGGATTCTATTGGCGTGTTTCATTCGAAAAGTATAAATTGCTCTGGAAGCGATAAAACTCAATTTTTATGAACTTACTCTCTACTTACTCGAGATATAATTGTTACATGTTTCTGGCACATTTTCCATTTTTAGATTCTTGTCTGATATCTGGTAGATGTATATTTGGAGTTATCATAAAAATTAAATTTATTAACTTTCAGAGCAATTTGAATTGCCTTAGTCGAATAAGTTATTTAACTTGTGAATTAGCAAATTTTACGTTATTACATGCGCCTTAAAGTTTAAACGAGATCAGTGCCGTGTTTATAAAAATTTATTCCTATATTATAATTTATGAGTGATTAATGTTTAATTAGTTTAAAATAATTGTTTCATTAGAGAACGATGATATAAACAACCTTTTACGATGTAAAATCACGGTGTGATTGCGAATATGCCAAAATAGTGTGCAATTTCTACATTGTATCGCTTTATCCAGAATGTTTCAACATATTTTTAAACTCGGATAATTTATATTAAGCAATCAGCCAGGATCTTTAATTTTTCTGAAGTTACCAAAAAAGGAGTATATATTTTATGAAAATTTGGTAAAAGAGTCATATACCTTATAGAGTATGATTACATACAGATGTTATTCGCAAAATATTACGGTATCTGCGGTTATATTGTTCGTCGTATGCCTTATATATTCCAAGTTTAATTTATAATTAAACTTCTTGGAATTTGCAAAATAAATGTTTCGCAAGAAAATTATTTTTCACAGGTGTATGTGCGTATGTACGCATAATCATGCGTATGTTGACTTAGATTTTTTTAACAGCCACAATCTTGCTAATAAGCATTCAATAATCTGTATATCCTTTATTTTATCTGGTTATTCATATATCATCATCCAAATTGATATATGCATATCTAGATTTTGTATGCCTTATTAACAAAATTTTACTTTATATAATTTCTGCTTCTCGGAAGTATTAACGAGAAAAGGCAGCTTAATGATAAAACATCTTATTTCTTATTAAATTCACTTTGTGAAGTAATTCAATAATTTCCGAGTAAATTATTATGAATACGAATCGATTCTCGTTAGACTTTACAAACACAAAATATTAACATTTTTATACATTTTTATCTTACATAATTATATTTTGTAAATTTTATTTAAAGCGTTAAAAAGAATAACATTCTTGATATTAAAAAAATCATATGATATTGAGTTTCACTAATTCAATATCTCAAATCCCAATTTATGGGAAAAAGACGTGCCTATAAATATTACACATATATACATAATTTTCAATTATTCCCAAATACTAAACTTGGCTAGTAGGAATAATAGTTACAATTAAAATATTACAAAATATACAAAACTCTAATTGCATATATTAAAAATAATATCGTAATTTTTTTCTTGTATAACAACCGTGTCTATACTTCAAAATCTTTTATTCGAGTTCATTCTTAAGTTAATAATTCATAGAAAAAACAGACTTATTAATGAAAGCAGTTCAATCTTTTATCATATTAAAGTCAATATAAACTAAAAATTGCACATATTTAAATATACTATTTTTTAATAGAATTGAATATTGAATTCATAAAAATTCTATAATTGTCAATAATATTTTCAATGTCAGATATTTTACATGAACATTTTGATCTTGAGCTATTTTACATTCTGAAACTGACATTATATTGCACTTAATTTTTATACCGTCTGACCGATTTCCAAGTACAAACACGATTGCAGTACTTCGTCTTATATATGAGACTATATATGATGTTATACCGATTGAATATTTACTTACAAAGGGAGCTTGTACCATGTAGCTCACCGATTTCTCTCGTCTTGCAGTATTCAAGTTAAATAATTATACAAATAAAAGATTATATTTTCAAAATAATACAGAAAAATTTGGCCACAAAGTTTTGGCGTAACGTTTAAGTGTTTATCGAGCACGAGCATCATTACACACAACTGAGTGAAATTGGAATATCTCATTCGTAGAAATGAATTGCAAAAAATAATGAATTATTTATATATCAATGTATCGACGAAATGGTTGCACATATTTATCTCTCCTCTTCTTTGATCGAATAATCAATCTTAAATATATACACATGTACAAGCTCTCCTTTGTTTACCTTAAAATATAAAAAGATAATATATTATTGTAATATGAAAACAATGAAATTCATAATCCTTATTTTATAATATAATAATGAATTTTACCTTATTGATAAATCCCAACAAATATAAATCAAAAGTCTTATCACTATCCAAATCAATATTGTAATTTAATCGTATATGGAAAAAAGCTTACTATACTTTTACTTTATACCCAAGAAATATGGCATTTTGTATAATATTATTTTATATCAGTCGTGTCCTCTAAAGATATAGGCCATACATTTAAGGTAGACATTATCACTTCGTGACTATAAGAATGAACGGCTTTAGATCAAAGTCTTCTCTTAATGTGATGGGTCTAAAGCAGATCATCTTTAATATTATTTTTCGAGAACTCAATTTGTTCGCTAGCGCTAGGCTCTAGCGTATTCACTTGTTCGCTAGGAACGGTTGTATTGTGCACAGAAGTTGGAATTAGCGTAGATCCGTTAACATTCTCATTGTTGTCCGATTCCGATTTCCTTTTCAATTGTCCTACTATGGTTACATAATTGGCAGGCACCAAACCGACATTCCTATTGTCGGTGGCTATCAACCAACCTGGTATACTCTTAGATTGCAGGGACCGTGGTGCCAACCATATTTTCTGACCGGTTCTCAGATTGAGTTCTTCGTTAGAAACCCCCATGAAATCGTACATCGCAGTTGCCACACATACAGGATCTTCGCATTTTATCCATTCCTTGGGATCATTAACTGTAAATTTATTAATATATAAGTTTATATAATATATAAGTTTGTGAAACATATTACAACTTATATAAAAAACAAAAATGTGAAAGAAGCCACAAACTTGGATTATATATCTTGCAAAATATTTTAATAAAAATATTTTTTTCTAAATATAGGGATTTATTAATAGGAGATGTAGATTGTTAATTATGAAAATATATTTATTTAAATTTTGTCTTCCTAAAAATGCAAAAGAATAATTACCTTTAATTTGATTCTGCCTTATATTACTCGATATTTTATGAATTAGATATGGAATAGCGACAAATACACCGAGAAGCAGAATATTCATCCACGGAGAGATCCGTCCATTTGTCATTGTCGCTGTCGTCGGCTGTTCTCCATTTGTTATTTGTGATATTGATTGCTGCCACAAATCTTCGGCAACGGCACTTTGTGTTTGAAGACCTATTAAGAAAATTAAAATAATTATGATTTATTACATAAAACGAGATAAGCATATCAGTTATAACAGAGAAGCTTACCAAGTATAAACAAGATCCTTCTATAAATCCATTTCATGACACGAATCAAAGCGAATGTGCTCAGCAACTGGCCGATTGTCGAACGCAATCTGCCAATATTGTCCGCCACGCTCAAAATCGCTCTAAAAGAATTTGTTAGAGCGAAATACGTTGACTCCAATAACATCGTAATAGACGAAAACGTATGTAGTACAGTCTCCACTACACGAAAAGTCGATCTCGTGCTTTCCTCCGCATATTGTTGAAACCTAAAACATAAAAAACAAGCTCTGTCAATTCAATTTTATTACTATCCTCTTTGAATATAACTGAAAATACTTTATTTCTGAAAAAACTAATTTTTCAAAATTCTACTTCAAAAAATAAATTCAAAAAATCAATGTTCTAATTTACATTGAACCTGTTCTTTTCGAGATTGTATAATTTATATTTTTTCTCAATTTTATATATATGAAAACTGAATTGCTATATTTTATAAACACAGTGTAATAACACAGTGCCAATATAGTTCAAGAAAATAAATTGTATTTTTAATCTTTTATTATTTACATGACATCTTTTAATATTTCTTTTTAATTCCAAAGTAAATATTTATAATCTTTTCCTTAACACACCTGTTTTCCACATCGCCACTATGCCCGCCAATTTGTCCATAGCTGTTATTAGAATAGGGATTGTAACTTCCAAAAGACCCATATCCACCATAACCCCTATAACTACCTCCAAATCCTCCATATCCTCCATATCCTCCATATCCTCCATAATTACTATAATAGCTCGAACCATATGGCCTGTAATCATTATACCCTAAATAGTTTTGAACTGACTGGCGAGGTGGCAACGGAGGCGGAGCAGCTCCAGCAGTTTGAAATGGCATGTGTGGTCCCGGCATGCTGCAAAAATGTTTATTATTTTATTGATATTATCGTCATTGTAATTCACATTAATTGTTCCTTTTAGGATATTCTGTAATTCTTAAATAATGTTTACGATAGTATCGTTATCATTTGTATTGTCGTTGCGCAGTTTTTCTATCACATATTATATCAGCGCAAAGATAACGACACTTAACTTCGTTAAAAGTTACAGAATAGACCTATTGGTACTGTTGAGAATTAAGCTGATCACTTCATGATAAGCATCGAAACTTTTAAATATATCTTAGTTACCATATAGTTAGTTATCATATAATTAACATTAATTAACATATCTCGTAATATATCTTAAACATATGAACATTGTTGAACAATTTTTATGCTAAACTATATAAAAACAACTTTAGGATTAAAAAAACAAAAACCGACTAAATATTTAAACTATTATTTTAGATAACTATTTCATATATTCATCCTTTTTTCTTTATTCTTTGTAATATTAAAAAAAAAAATCAAAGGATGTGATCGAAGGAATATGAAGAATTTTTGGTGCGAAACTCATCACGAAATGACCAGATGAATGCCCTTTGGCATTATCTCGCGAGAGATCGCATTCGAAATTGCCCACTGAAATACCAGACGTCGTCTCACCTGGACGAAATGCTGGATGAATTCCTGAGTTGATTGCTATTGTTGATAACGTTATTCATGCCTGGTGCCATCGCGTCGTTGAGTCTCGCAGTCTGGTTATTCCAAATTTACTTCTCACGATCGAGACATCGAGACGCGCACGATCTAGCGTGCGTAAAACGTTATGTTCTGATAACGCGGTTCAAAGTTCACGAATTTTACTGTCGAAACGTTACATGCACGCCCGACGTGACTGTACGTTTTCACATCTGAAGGATAGTCCACGCTTCACTTGACTCCAGTCTTTTTTAAGCCGACAGGAGGGAGGGGTTCTCCGGCGTCCTCTCTGTCTCGAGGTGTCTCATGCGTTTTTAAGTATTTAGTTGGCATCGGCATATAAGGCCGGCGTACAAGGCGTATTAAGGCCTGTCCAAATGTGAACATCGTAACGTAACGCTCGGAAACGAAATCGATAAGATCATGCAGCTCGCAAAATCAAAATGTTCGGAAAAAATTCTCACTTTTGCTATGCTGCAGCTATACTCTTTCCTCCGATTTCCGTTGATCTTTTAAAATTAGAAATTTTTAAAAATTTGAAAATTTTCAAATCTAGTAATTTCTAGTAATTTTTAAAAACTCGTGTTGCATGATTCTTGCCTTGGAATGTTTTTTTTTCTATGGAAAATCATTTTCTGAAATATTTCATAGTTAAACGACATAAAATATAAAATATCTCATCAGTATAAATTATTCGTTTTTTTTTCATAACTGTATCTCAATATATTTATAAAATGAGATAGTGATAAATGATAATAATAATGACAAATAAAAAAAGATACAATTTGCAGAATTTTTTTTGAAAAACAGCTATAAATTATTTATCAAAATTTTTTGTCAGAATTAAATATATAAAATATTTTGATATTAATTTTTAACTTTTTATAACTTTTTATAACTTTATCTTCTTATATTCAGAAGAATTTAAAAAACATCAAAATCATAATTTTATTTTAAAAAATTACGGTAACTGACATGAGTTTCAAACTTAATATCAAATCAATACACTATCATACATCTTTATAAAATTCTATATTTTTTATCTTTTTTTATTCGATCTTAACCTGCAAAAATAAAGGGATAGGATAAAATATAATATCCTGTATAATTATATTAATAATGTTACAACATAAATAATTTTTAATAATATGATATAATTAATATGATATAATGCATTAAATACAAATTGATGAAATAGATTTAAGATTTTCAAACTATCATATACTACTTTCAAAATCGAAAGCTTGCAAGTACATTTTCATTGCAGCAATGATATAAAAATGTATTACAAACCAATAACATTAAACAAACATAATTAAAAATTATTATACTTATTTTCTAATATTAATCGCATGACGACGAGAATCGTATGTAATCTTACATATCCTGTATTAAAATATTTAGATATTTCTTGCATATCTCTTAATTATAAAAGTAAAAAATTGTAAGTACTTTCAAATAATATAAAATTTACAGTTTAACATTTTATGAGAACAAAAATATTATTATTTAATATAAAAATTGCAAAGTTAAATTGAATATTAATATTAATAATAAAATAATACATCACAGATATGCATTATGCGTCAATTTTAAAATGCGCAACACGAACAATCATGCGACTGAAGAAGTAGAAGCACAAATTTCTTTTTGTTCATATATATTTCTTTTTAATCAATAATCTTTGTGTTTAAAGTTTTTGATTCTGAATCTATACCGACTATAATTTGATTGGATTCTTTGAACGTGTTTCTCTTCTTCATAATGGTAATTCCGCATA